GACATCTTCCAAATTTTTTGGCATAGATGAGTGAGCACTTTCAGCATCACCACCATTTGTTAAAACATCTCAATTGGAATTCATAGACCTTGTTTTCACCATAGCCTTCACTGAAGCTTGGACTTCTTCCTTCAATACCACTGGCTCCTGATCATAGGCTACCTCCTAAAATGGTTGAATGTCAGCCATTTCTTTTTAGCACAGTGATTCTGAATAGTTCATTCATTTTTTTCCATAAAAATTGTCAGTATTTCAACTCGAGGCTTGAATTTTTTCTTTAGTTCTTTCAACTTGAGAAATGCCAAGAGTGTTCTTCCCTTCAGGTTTTCTAATTCCAGGTCTTTGCATGTTTCATTACAATACTTTACTTTGTCTTCTCAAGTCATCCTTTGAAGTCTTCAGTTCTTTTACATAAATAATCCTTTCTTCCATATACTTTAGCTACTCTACATTTAAGAGCAAGTTTCAGAGTCTTTTCTGATGTCCATTTTGGTCTTTTCTTTCTTTCCTGTCTTTTTAATGATCTTTTGCATTCTTCAAGCATACTGTTGTTATCATCCCATGATTTGTCATTAGTGTTCTTGAGATGGACTTTAAATTCAGGTGTGATAAACTCAAGGTCACACTTTTGACTTGTGGAGTTGTTTTCATTTTCTTCAGCTTCACCTTGAACATGCATAAAATCATGTTAACCCCTCCTAACCTTATTCTGACTTCTTCATCATCTCTTTCTATAAATGAAGTTAATTTGATTCTTGTGTATTCCATCTGCCCTGTATATTTATTTCAAAATGTACTTATAATGAATAAACTGTTGGAAAAAATGCACTTGCAATGAATAAGTAGTTGGTCTTGTAATGGAATTGAATAATGGAATATTGCTGTTGTTGATGTTAAGTCCGTCTAGTTGTTTCCAACTCATAGTGACTCTGTATAGGGTGTCTGAAGAGCCACTGGTAAGTTTTGAACCACTGACTTGCAGTCCAATACTTACACTACAGGGCCACACCAAGACTCTATTTGTTGTTGTTGTTGTTAGGTGCCATCGAGTCAGCACCGACTCATAACGACCTTATATGCACAACAGAACAAAACACTGCCTGATCCTGGGCCAACCTCACTACTGTTGCCACACTTAAGTTCATCAATGCTACCACTTGGTCAATCCATCTCATTGAGGGTCTTCATCTTTTTCTCTGACCCTCCACCTTACCAAACATGATATCCTTCTCCAGCAACTTGTCCCTCCTGATAATATGTCTGAATTTTGAGAGACAAAGTTTGGCCATCTTGGGCTCCAAGGAGCACTCTGGCTGCACTTCTTCCAAAATGGCAGCCCGTGGCACTTTCAATATTCTCCTCCAACACCATAACTCAAAAGCATCAATTCTTCTCCGATCTACTTAATTCACTGTCCAGCTTTCACACGCATATGAGGTTATTGAAAATACCATGGATTGGGTCAGGCGCATGTTAGTCCTCAAGCTGACATCTTTGATCTTCAACACTTTAAAAAGGTCTTGTGCAGCAGATTTGCCTAATGCAATACGTCATTTGATTTCTTGACTGCTGCTTCCATGAGTGTTGATAGTTGATCCAAGAAGAATGAACTCCTTGACAACTTCAATCTTTTCTCCATTGATAAGAATGTTGTTTATTGGTCCAGTGGTGAGGATTTTTGTTGTCTTTACATTGAGATGTAATCCATACCAAAGGCTGTGCTCTTTGATCTTCATCAGTAAATGTTTTAAGTCCTCTTAAAACTTTCAGCAAGCAAGGTTGTATCATCTGCATATTGCAGGTTGATGAGTCTTCCTCCAACCCTGATGCCACGTTCTTCTTCATAGAACTCAGCTTCTCAGATTATTTGCTCAGCATACAGGTTGAATAAGTATGGTGAAAGAATACAACCTTGTCACACATCTTATTAATTTTAAACTATTCAGTGTTCCCATGTTCTGTTTGAACTGCCTCTTGGTCCAGGTATAGATTTCTCATGAGCACAATTAAGTGTTCTGAAATACTCATACTTCACAATGTTGTCCAAAACTTGTCATGATCCACACAATCGAAAGCTTTTGCGTAATCAATAAAGCACAGGTAAACATCTTTCTGATATTCTCTGCTTTCTGCTAAGATCCATCGGACATCAGCAATGATATCCCTTGTTCCACGGCCTCTTCTGAATCCGGCTTGAACCTCTGGAAGTTCTCTGTAAATGTATGCTTGCAGCCGTTTCTGTATTACCTTTAGTAAAACTTTACTCGCATGGGATATCAAAGATATTGTCCAATGATTTCCACATTCCATTGGGTCACCCTCTCTTTGGAATGGGCACATCAGTAAAAAGGAGCCAACTATATATTCTATACTCAGCAACAGAGATGAATCTCAGGTGTATGTTAAGTAAAAGAAAGAGTACACACAGTACATTTGTATGATCCCACGGTTCAAAATCATGAGACGTGTGCACCAGGATTGTACCCTTTCACCATATTTCAATCATTACGCTCATCAAATAATCCGAGAAGCTGGATTATATGAAGAAGAACGATGCATCAGGATTGGAGGAAGGCTCATTAATAACCTGTAATGTGCAGATGACACAACCTTGCTTGCTGAAAGTGAAGAGGACTTAAAACCTGATAAAGATCAAAGCTTTCAATACAGACTGCACCTCAATGCAAAGAAAACAAACAAAAAAATTCTCTTAATTGGACCAATAAATAATATTATGGTAAATGGAGAAAAGATTGAAGTTGTTAAAGACTTCATTTTGCTTAGATTCACAATCAACATTCATGCAAGCAGCAACCAAGAAAACAAATGACATACTGCATTAGGCAAATCTGTGGCACAAGACCTCTTTAAAATTGTCAAGAGCAAAGATACCAGTTTGAGGACTAAGGTGTGCCTGACCCAAGCCATGGTATGTTCAATAGCCTCATATGCATGTGAACGTTGAACAATGGATAAGGAAGACCGTAAAAGAATTGGTGCATCTGCACTGTGGTGTTGGAGAAGAATGCTGAAGGCACTATGGACTGCCAGAAGAATAAGCATGTCTGTTCTGGAAGTACAGTCTGAGTGAAGCCAAGGTAGCCAGACTTCATCTTTCATAATTTGGACTTATTATCAGGAGGGACCAGTCCTTGGAGAAAGATACCATGTTTGAGAAATGGAGAGTCAGGGAAAAAGAGGAAGACACCTCAATAAGATGGATTGGCAGAGTGGAAACAGCAATGCACTTAAGCATAAAAATAATTAGAAGAATGGTGCAAGACCAGGCTGTGTTTCATTCTGTTGTGCATAGGGTTGATTTGAGTCAGAACCAACTCAACAGCATCTAACAACAACATGGTTACATTTATAGGATCAGGCAAAACTAATCTGTTGTTGTTAAGTGACGTTGAGGCAGTTCCAACTCATAGCAACCCTGTACAGGGTTTCCAAGGAGTGGTTTGAACTGCTGACTTTGAGGTTAGTAGTACAGTGCTTATTCTACAGCACCATACCAAAACTAATTTATTAGACAAGAAAAATGCAACTGAGGCTGCTTCTTGGGTGTGGGGCAAGGACAAGGAAGAGGCATAAGGAAACTTTCTAGGGTGATGATAACATTTCATATTAAGGAAGGGTTTGATTGACTTAGAGATATGTGTTAATCAAAATGCATAATGGTGAATACAATTAAGATTTGTGCATTTCACTGTAAATTTTACCTTAAAAAATAAAAGAGAACTGTAATAAATTTTGAACTCTAGTTAACAGAATGAATGGCTTAAGGATGAAATGTATTAAAGCCTACTACTTTAAAATGCAAAAGAAAGATGGATGGATAGATACACATGATAAAGCACACATAATAAAATGTCAATAGAAACTAAAAGTAAATAATAAAACCACTGCCATTTATTCTAGCTCAGAGTGACCCTATTTCTGAGACCGTAAATCTTTACAGGAGCTGACAGCCTCATCTTTCTCCTGCGAGGCAGCTGGTGACTTTGAACCACCAACCTTATAGTTAGGAGTCCAGTGCTTAGCCTACAGCACATCAGACTGGCTATACTGGTATTCACTGCATAATTCTTTCAATTCCTCTATATATTTGAAAAGATTCATAATCAGGTATTGGGTTATGACTATGTAACTAGCCCTCTCTTACCCTCTTACTCACTCACCATGGTAAAGCCTGCTGACATCTTTTGAGATGTTCTAGGAAGGGACACGTGGAACCAAGGGAGGCCTCAGTCCAACAACCCACAAGGAACAAAATCTTCTGAGTGAGTTAGGAATCAAATCCTTCTAGTCCAGCCTTGAAGTGCCTGCAGCCTTGTGGCAGACAATGTCTGGAGAGCCAGCTAGCAGTGCCTGGATTCCCAGTTCACAAGACTGGGAGTTGACAAATGGGTGCTGTTTTCAGCTGCTAAATATTGGACTGATTTTTTAAAGAACAACAGCTAACTACCATAGATTCATTCTGAAAAGGAATACACATGCATATATTCTGGTACACATTTCAGAGAAGCAGGGGACCACTCCTCTCTGAAGTTTACTAACAGAACTCCTAATGGCCCAGGGCCTCCAAATTTAGACACTTCTAAAATGATACACTTCACAAAACAGAAATCAATGCAGCCATGCAATATAGCATACCAGATGTCAGAATACTTTCCTTCCATAAAGCACTATTCAGAAGGATAAACCATTTCAAATACAATGTTTTAGTACTAGTACTGCCACAGGTAAAATCAACTTATACCAAACAATTATTTCTGAATAACATGTTATATGTTATAGGTACTAAATAAGTACTGAGGATAAACTAATGTCCTTAATTTTAAGGACTTTACTGTCTAGTGGGTAACACATGTATAAAAAATAACTATCGTAACATCTGAGAATAAAAGAAGATTTGCATATGGTAGCCCACCATGTACATTAAAAAAAAAAAAAAATGACATAACTGAATTTTATTATAAAGCAATTAAAATAAATACCTGTATTGTTTTTCCAAGTCCCATGTCATCGCCGAGAATACACCCTCTCCCTTGGATGTAGTGTCCATAGAGAAACTGGGCCCCTTCTCTCTGATAGTCTCTCAGATATCTATTGATAGTATAAGGAATGCAGTCTCCATTTTCAGATAATTTAAAAGCAACAGCAGATGATGGAAATTTTCGATCTGGGAAATAAGGTTTTTCCAAATCTTCATCATCAAATATAAAACTCTTAGAGCCATCTTTAGCAGCTTTTACTTCTTGAAGTCTCTTAAGAGGTACTTTCCTTTCTAGAGAATCTGAATATAAGACAACTGCAAATGACTTGCCATGTTCATCCACAGTAATAGATTTTATGCATGCTTCACAAAGTTTTCCATTATCTGGAGAAGGAACAAGGCATCTTTCTCCTGGACACCATTTGTCTACAAAAAGAAAAAAAGAAAATATTTCCAAATGTAGCTTAAAAAGCTATCTACTGTTATGAGAAAATAAAGTTTTTCACATAAATGCTTTTTCCAAATAACTAAAACGATAAATTACACTATTATACTTATAAAATTGCAAAGAAGGGGAATTGCAGACCATGTTCATGGCAGAGCCTGTGCACAGACCAAAAAGCAGCAGTTCAAATAGAACATGGTTTAAAATCAGGAAAGGTATGTGTCAGGGCTGTATCCTTTCACTATACTTATTCCATGTGATAAGCAAATAATCTGAGAATCTAGGCTATAAGAGGAAGAATCCTGCATCAGGACTGGAGGAAGGTTCATTCAACTACAGTATGTAGATGACACAACTTTGATTGTTGAAATCAAAGAGGACTTGAAGCACTTACTGATGAAGATCTAAGACTATTCATAGCCTTCAGTATGGATGACATACCTCAGTGTAAAGAAAAAAAAATCCTCACCACTGGACCATTGAAGAACAGCATGATTAAACTGAGAATACATTGACACTGTCAAAAATTTCATCTAACTTCAGTCAAACACAGCACCCATGAAAGCAGCAGTAATGAAATTAAACAATGCATGAGGTGATATCAAAAAGTATGACTTCTGCCAATCTCTTACCTGGGAAGCACAAATAATTAAATGCTCAACTACTGTCTAGTACATTAACCCCACACAGAAGTGCCTCTTAAGTAAGGCTTGGTGATGATTCCAAAAGGGCACAGCCTTGAAAGGCCTGTGGAATGCACATCTACTACATACCTGGGGGCCACACAAGTCTGAATCCACTCAGTGACAACAAAAAAGAACCACATGATGGCAGTCTAGGCAGAAAGGCTGTGCAGACTCTCTTCAGCAAAAACACGGAAAACTAGATGAAATAGATTTAGAGGACAGTCCTGGGAACTCTGAGCTTCAGATAAAGGGATAAATAAGGGTGTGCTTATCAGGAGAAAGATTTGGAACAGAATCTAGAAAGGAGATGACTTCTGATTTGAGGCAGCCAACATGATCTGCCACAGCCATTTTGAATGAGAGTGAGCGGATTGAGGGACAAGAGAGCATTCCCATTGTAAAAAACCTGCAGGCGATTTACAGAGACAAAGGTGTGAATATTATTTTATTTTTTCTTTTCTTTTTCTCTTTCTACTCATTTTCTCTTTGGTGACCAGAGATAAGACCTGTAGCAATATTTATATATAGCTTCAGTGTACTTTCGATGTAGCAGCTCATTTAAGCCTCTTTTACAATATCACGAAATTCTGGTGTGGCGTTGCCGGTTAATGCGGTAAACTGCAATGTCTGTGCGGGCTGTTAAAGCCAGCAGTTCTAACTCACCAGCTGCTCCTTGGAAACCCTGTACAGGGTCTCTATCAATCGGATCCTGACTTGATGGCACTTAGCAACAACAATTACAATATCACATAAGCAATACTATTAGTTCCATTTTACAAATGAGGAAAGAGACAACTTGCCTAAAGTCACTCAGCTATTGACAGAGGTCGGATTTTAACCAGTGATTATGAGGCTGGCACAGGGACTGGGCCATGTTTCATTGTTATATACAAGGTCACCATCAGAGCTGACTGGATACCAACTAACATCAGAACTTGCAGCCACTCTATAATAGTTCACATATGAATCAACAACTCCCCCACGCTGAGTAGTACCTGCCACCTTGTGACAGTGTGTTTTATATGTCAACTTAAGTGAGGGTTCCCAGAAGTTTGACCAAACACTAGACCAGTTGCTGTCACGGAGTACTTCGTGTGATTAAATCAGCTGTCTTTGGACAGAGCTTCCATAATGTAATGTAATGACCTTACATAATGTAAAATTACATAATGTAATCAATTGAGGTAATCCCTGTGAGGGTAGACCTAAATCTGTCATTTCTAAGTAATAAAAATGCTAGAATAGACAAAGAGATAGCAGAGTATGGGGGTGGGAGGGAGAGGAGGCCTCAGAAATGGTAAGAAACAAGGATCTTCTCTGACACCTTTCTCCTACAGCCAAACCCTGAATTCAAACTTCTAGTTTCCACAAATGTGAACAAATGTGTTCTTTAAAGCCACCACTCACTTGTGGCATTTGTGTCAAGCAGTACTGTTTTCGTTGCTGTTGTTAAGTGTGGTAGAGTCGGTTCCGACTCACAGGGACACTGTATAGGGTTTCCAAGGAACAGCTGATTGGTTTCAACTGCCACCTTGTGGTTCAAATTGACCTTGCAGTCTAGAGTTTATTCTACAGTGCCACATCAGGACTCCAAATGTAGTTAGTCTCCGAGGCTAGGCTCCACTTGTTGCTGCTGTCAAGTCAAATCTGATTCGTAGCTGCCTGAGGAGCAGCTGGAGGGTTTGAACTACCAACTTTGTGGTTCACAGTCCAGTGCTTATCCTACAGTACCACAAAAACATCCTTTTAACTTGCTTTCAAACGTAGAGTAGTTAAAGCAAATTGAGGACATGTTGAAGTAAAAGAGCTGACCAGAAGATCCCAAAGGGTGGATTGAGAAAACAAAGTAAAGTTTTATAAGGAGATGTGTGCAGACCTGGAGTTAGAAAGTCAAAAGGGAAGAATACACATGGCATTCCTCAAACTGAACGAACTGAAGAATAACTTCAAGCCTCGAGTTATTGGGCAAAACAGAGTTCTGGTGTGGTGCTGTAGAATACGCATTGGACTGGTAACCGTAAGGTAGGCAGTTCGAACCCACCGGCCACTCCTTAGAAACCCATATATAGGGTTGCTATAAGTCAGAATCAATTCTACAGCACTTAGCAATAACAACAACATGGGCAAAATAGGAGCTCTGGTTGCGCTGTGGGTTAGGGATTGAACTGCTAAATGCAAGCTCAGCAGTTCAAACCTTCCAGTTGCTCCATGGAGGAAAAATGAAGCTGTCTACGTCCATAAAGAGTTAAGTCTCTGAAACCCTATTTAGGGTATGACTACCTGGTATCGTGGAGTCCTGGTGTGGTGCTGTGGGCTAATGCGCCGACTGCAAAGTCGTTTGAACCACAAGGTCAGTGGTTCAAGCTCACCAGCTGCTCCTTGGAAACCTTATACAGGGTCGCTATGGGTCAGAACAAACTCAATGGCACTTCACAACAAACAACAACCTGGTATCGTAGTGGCCACACGTTGATCCGCTCACCACGAGGTCAGCAGTCTAAATCTACCAGCCACTCTGTAGAAAAAACATGAGGCTTTCTGAGCCCATAAAGATTTACTGCCTCGGTAAGCCAGTATAGGGTCGCTATGAGTCGGAACTGACTCAATGGCACGCCACCACTGTTGTTGCTGTTGTTATGTGCTGTTGAGCCAATTCCAACTCATAGCGACCCTATATAAGTGGTGGGTTTAAATTGCTGACCCTGTGGTTCGCAGTCCAGTGCTGATCCTACAGCGCCACAGTAATCGATTTGATGGCAGAGGGTTTGGGATGGGCAAAATATTAAACAATGCGGAAGTAACAAAAGAAGATGGAAGGAATATAAAGTACTGTACCAGTCAGAATGGATTGATTTTCAACTGATTTAAGAAGCACCATATGATCACGAACTGATGACACTGAAGGAAGAAGTCCAAGCTGCACTGAAAGCGCTGGTGAAAAACAAGGCTCCAGGAATTGATGCAATACCAATTCAAATCTTTCAACAAATCCATGTGCTGGAGGCACTCATTCATCTATGCCAAGAAATTTAGAAGACAGCTACCTGTCAACTGATTGGAAAAAATTCATATTTGGGCCAATTCCAAAGAAAGGTGAGCCAAAGAAATGTGGAAACCATTGAACAATATCATTTATACACAAGTAGTAAAATTTTTCTGAAAATAATTCCAAACTGGTTGCAGCTATACATTGACAGGTAGCTGCCAGAAATGCAAGCCGGATTTAGAAGAGGATGTGGAACTAGGGATCTCATTGCTGACATCAGATGGATCTTGACTTAAAGCAGAGAATATCAGAAAGATGTTGACTTGTGCTTTATTGTACTAAGAGGTAGTTATTTGAACATGGGGATACTGAATGCTTCAAAATCAGGAAAAGTGTGTGTCAATGTTATATTATTTCACCATATTTATTCAGTCTATATGCTAAGCAAATAATCTGAGAAGCTGAATTATATTAAATCGAATGCAGCACCAGGATTGGAAGAAAAGCTCAACCTGAGATATACATATGACACATCTTTGCTTGCTGAGAGCAAAGAGAACTTCATCAGAAACACTGATGAAGATCTGTGACTATAGCCTTCAGTATGGATCACACTTTAATATAAAGGAAACAAAAATCCTCATAACAAGATCAATAAGCATCATGGTAAATGAAGAAATAATTGAAGTTGTCATGGTACGTTTTACTTGGATCCATAATCAACACCAATTGAAGCAGCAGTCAAGAACTCATATGACACATTGCACTGGGAAAATCTGCTGAAAAAGATCCCTTGAAAGCATTAAAGAACAAAGATGTCACACTGATGACAAAAGTGTGCTCACCCAATCCATGGTCATTTTAATCGCCTCAAATGAGTATGAGGATGGCACAGGACCAGGCAATGTTTTGTTCTTTTGTGTGTAGAGTCATTATGAGTCAGAATTGACTCAACAGCACCTAACACCAACAACAACATGTGCATGGGAAATCTGGACAATGAATGACGAAGATGAAAGAAGAATTGATATATTTGAATTATGGCACAGGTAACGAATACTGAATATAAAATGGCCTGCCAGAAGTCCTGGTGTAGCGCTGCAGGATAAGCATTAGACCACAAGGTCAATCTGAACCGCAAAGTGATGGTTCAAGCCACTCCTCGGAAACCCTATACAGGGTCGTTATGAGTCGGAACTGACTCAATGGCACTTAACAATAATAACAACAGCCAGAAGAATGAATAAATCTGTCTTGGAATAAATACAGTTAGAATGTTTCTGAGAAGTGAGGATGGTGAAACTTTGTCTCATGTACTATGCATATGTTATCAAGAGGAACCTGACCCTTGAAAAAGGGTCTATGAAAAACAGGAAGACCCTGAATAAGATGGATTGATGCAGTGCCTACATCAATGGACTCAAATATAAGAATGATTGTGAGGATGGCACAGGATAAGACTGTTTTTCATTTCATTGCATATAGGGTCACTATAGAGTCCTGGTGTGGCACTGTGGGTTAATGAGCTAGACTACAAAGTCAATTTGAATCGCAAGATCAGCTTTTCAAACTCACCAAGCGCTCCTTAGAAACCATATACAGGATCACTGTGGTTTGGACCCAATTCTACAGCACTTAACAACAACAACAACAACAGGGTCACTATGAATCAGAACTTAACAATGACAAATACCTGAGCTATTGCTTCATCAATTCCTAGCCTTCTGAGTGTAAGTGTATTACTTAAACTCTCCAAACTTTAGCTCTGAATTCCTCATCTGTTTAAACCAGAACAATCTCCCTCAAAAGAATGCATGTAGATAAACAATCTGCATATTGTTAGCACAGCGCAAGCACTCAATACCTGGTAGCTTTTGTTATGTTACTATTATTAATGAAAACTATGAATAGGAGGCAAGAAGGCATCCCAGAAAAGTTTGTCACCAATGGCCCCAACTTCCTCAAGCACTCAATACCTGGTAGCTTTTGTTATGTTACTATTATTAATGAAAACTATGAATAGGAGGCAAGAAGGCATCCCAGAAAAGTTTGTGGCAGATGGCACCAACTTCCTCAGACTCTTTAATGATGATCTATTAAAGTGGAATATAAGGCTCTAGGATAATCATATGGAGTCCTGGTATGGCATTGCGGGTTAATGTGCTGGACTGCAAGGCCGGTTTGAACCCAAAGGTAGAGGTTCCAACCTCACCTCACCAGCCATTCCTTGGAAACCTGATACAAGGTCACTATGAGTTGGAACCGACTAGACTAAACGGAACCTCTCAGTATACCATAAAGTAAGCTATTAAATGTAATAAAAGTAAACTAAATTAAATGTCTCAACTCATTCATCTGCTTAACTACAAAATCTTGCCATTCACTAACAACGAATGCATACAGAATTAAGAACAGCAATATCCAACACTTACTTAATACCTACTAAGGATTTCTAGTAGCGTAGTGGTTAAGAATCGGGTTGCTAATCTCAGGGTCAGCAGTTCGAAACTACCAGCTGTTCCGCGAGAGAAAGATGAGGCTTTCTGCTCCCGTAAAGATTTACAGCCTCGGAAACCCTGTGCAGGGTCACTAAGAGTCGGAACCGACTCCATGCACATAACCACCACCACCATGGATCAGACACTAATGCGCTTTGCAAACACAATCTTACTTGTAACTTCAATAACGCAGCAAAGATCCTAATTTTACAGAGGAGGAAGCTGCACAAAGATGTTCAGCAAGTAACTGTCAGAGCCAGAAGGAGGACCAAGAGTAATCTGATTCCATAATCGAAAAGAATTCATCTCAGCCTGTGAAGGGTTCCAATCTCCTACTGTCACTCAAAGGAGCCGCAGGGTACTGGCCGGAATGAGTCCACCTAGCGCAGTAAAGTCAGGTGTTTGGGCAAAGTGGTGATCTCAGAGCCTATACCTTTGCCGGCGGTTTCCGCGAGGGACTTCGGGGCAGAGGGATCCATCTGGCCAGGGGGAGGAGCCTGGCAGCCCCGTGGCATTTTAACACCAGACTGGCGGCAGACCAGACCAGCATCGCTCCCCTGCAGGCCGAAGCCACGGGAGGGCGGGGAGCCAAGGTGCAGGCTAAGGGGGCCCACGAAGAAGAAGCAGAAAGCATACGAGCCGAAGGGCGTTCATCAAGCCATCTCGGCCTCCGAAGCCGCCGCCGCCCCGGCTACCGGGGAAAGATAACCTCTAGTACCCGCCTTCCTTCTACAGCCTACAGCTCATGGCAACCCTGACTCGGAAAATCCCGCGAGAACAGGCCCGACCTGTCATCGGGATCTCGCGATAACAAAATCTTAGCATTATGTTTGTTTTTTACCACCTGGGCGGAGAAATTGTCCTTCGTCATGCCCCAGAGGCCTATTTCGTAGTAATGTAATCTGCGGTAGTTGCAAGTATCGCGATGTTTGAGATTACTTTCTGAGTTTACGTAGATTTTGCTGCTGAAAGTAGCTGGCAGATACTGCTGGCTTCGTCGTGTGATGGTTTTTTAAGTTCAGGAGGCGGAACACCTGGAAAAAGATCGTTGTCCCCGCGAGTCTGGCCTTTGACTTATATTTGGTGCTGGTAACCTCGTATTGCCGCATACCTAGGACCATTAGGAGGTGAGTGAGTGATGCTCAACTGCAGGGAAGTAAGCGCATAAGTACCCAACAGGAGCAATAGTGAAATCAGCGCGTTTCCTCTGGTCAGACCCATTAAAATACAGTGAATCATTAACCACTCCTCTGAGTACAAAACCAGCATTACCTGACTTAAATAGAAGGCAAATGTAAAAATGCTATTAAATTCTTGCACTCAGCATCTAAAATTACCAGTGATTTGTATCATACATTATAGAAAAACGTTACCTTAAGAAAATCAAAGACTGCTTTTGGTAGCATCTTGAGGGCAACATACTGCTCGAGAGGTAAATGGATACTGCCTATCTAATTGATTAATCCAAAGACGGTTCCTCCAATAGTGAAAATGTTTTTTCATACTGTACAATACGAGGGAAATTCAAAAAGTTCATGGAAATTTTAAATTAAAAAATAATAGGATTTTTCCACAAACGTTTTGAAGTCCCCTCGTATTTCATTTCATTAGCTTACATGGACCTGTGAACCCACAAAACCTACTGTAATTGAGTCCATAGATTCCAACTCATAATATCCAATATAGACTGTTCATGACTGTAAATCTTTATGACAGCTGGTAGCCTCATCTCTACCGAGAAGAAGCTGGTTGGTTTGAACCCCAAACCAGCCTTATCCCAGCTAGGCTCCTTGTATGGTTTGTATTAGTTGCCTGTTGCTACTGTAACATATCACAAATTTGGGAAGTTTAAAAAAAAAAAATGTGTTCTTTTAGTTCCTATGGGTCAGAAGTCGCACTGGAGTCTTATTGAGCTACAATGGAAATGTCAGTAGGCCTAGGTTACTTTGGAAGCTCTGAAACAGACTTTCCATCCCTTTTCTAGATTTCTTGGTCCATGACCGCCTTCTTCCATCCTTAAAGCTAGCAAATTCCATGTCTCTGATCATTTTTCCATAATCACACCTCCCTATGACTTCACCTGGGAAAGGTACTCTGATTTTAAAGATTCATATGATTAGAAATAATTAGATGGGCACACCCATATCATGGAGAATAAGCTTCCATTGCAAAGTCTGTACCTTTAGTAACATCACAACTCCTTCACAGATTGCTTGAGTTAGAACATGAACATCTTTGGCAGGAGAAGGAGAATAGTATTCTGCCTACCACTGGACCTTAATGAAAAACAAACTAACTGCTATTTGTTCTACAAATAAGGCATCCACTCTTCCTCAAATTTAAATATTAGTAGCATGTTTTCATGAAATGCTTCTGTAGAATAACATTCATTTCTCTTTGTCAATAAGTAGAAAGATTGTGTCTAAGAAACACCTAACTCATTGGCCAAGCCATGCAGCCTCTCTGAATCCAGTGTCCTTGCCCATAAAAGAAGATAACCTACCTGAAAGGGGTTATTATAAGACTTCAATAAGATAATTAAGTAAAATGCTTAAAAGAGTGCCTAACTCGTAGTTGTTGCTGTTAAGTGCCATTGAGTCAGTTCCAACTCAGTGACTCTGTATAGGGTTTCTGAGGAGCGCCTGGTGAGCTTGAACCACCAACCTTGGATTCTAACCAACCTTGCAATCTAGAGCATTAACCCACACCAGGACTCCAAGGTCATAGGAAGAAATGCATATATTATCAATGGAAAGTATCCACTTGACATTTGCATTTGGCTAATAGTTCATAATGTATTTTTACTTAAGATTAGGATTTTACACTAGATTCTAACTTAAAATACCATGATTTATAATACAAGCTGTTTTATGTACAGCTAAAAAATGAAACAAAACCAAAAACACACTACTCAATGCTTAGGGGTGAAAGAATAACTCTAAAAAACAAAGGAAAGATCTTTAGGAAAAGATGTCCATGGAGTGCCTGCTGTAATCTCCTAGCAGTACTGAGGCCTTTCCTGTTCCTTACTTTATCTCCCCTTTTCCCAAACCTTTATTTTTGTTGTCATTAAGTGCCATCAAGGCAGTTCCAACTCATAGTGATCCTATAGAGGTTTTGTGAGGAGGGGCTCGTCGGCTTGAACTGCCAACCCAGTGGTTAACAGTTCAATGCTCATTCTACAGTGTCATACCAGGACCCAAATTCAACCCTAGAGAAGTCAAAAATCATCTTATAAGTAGGAGAGGACCACAGAGACATTAAGCATATAAAAGACATAGTCACTCATACAATATTCATTGCAGACAACTTACCTGCAGCAAGCCTGAAATCTAAGAGGGGAAAGTCTTTACTTTTGAATGAGGATTAAAGTTTTAACTATTATACCACAGTGGATTTAGGAATTACCAAACTGAGACTGTTTTGTTTTAGGGGCTAGAGACGACCACAGTATATTTCTTATTAAGGGAAGAATCATGACATTTCCCAGCTTCCACTCGGGTATTGGGAAAAACTAACCCACAGTGAATTTGAATGAGGAGTGTGGCAAATAAATAAATAAATAAATAAATTTATATTCTGATTTCATCTCATAAGTACCCTTGTCCAACATCCTGGTACATTTAAAACTGAATAATAGTGGAAATAATACAAATTAAAATTTGTGGGAATTTGTTACATGGAGGGTAAGAAATGCTCATATTAAAAAAGAGCAAAAGCTAAAAAAAAATGTTTTAAGCATCCAATTTAAGTTACAAAAATAAAAAAAACCACTATTAAATAAAAGAAATACTAAAGGAAAAAATTAAAGTATAATAGAGATGATCAGCAAAGCCAAAAGTTAATTTCTTGAAAAGATTAATAACATAGGCAAGCCTCTGGAAAATGCATCCAGTACAAAGAGAAAAGAAGCAAATGTTATTATTAGGTGCTCTTGAGTTAGTTTCCACTTGTAGGGGCCTATATACAACAAAATGAAACATTTCCTGGTCCTGCACCATTCCCATAAACTTTAGTGAATTTCAGCTTGTTGTTACAGACACTACATTAGTCCATCTCATTAAGGAGCTTCCTCTTTTTTGATCTGTGGTTTAAACTCACCAGCCACTCCACAGAAACACTATACAGGGTCGCTAGGAGTCAGAACCAACTCAACCTCAACGGCACTTAACAACAACAACTTTACCAAGCATGAGATTCTCCTCCAGTGATTGCTCCCGTTTACATATCCAAAGTGTGTAAAACGAAGTCACTCCTCATTTCTAAAGCGCATGCTGGCTGTACTTCAAGACAGATATGTTTATTCTTCTGGAAATCCATGGTATATGAAAGTAAGTAAAAAAGTATTGCTACAAAATCATTAACGTATTTAACTCAAACTATGTAGCTAGTATCCTTCAATGTAACATCCATCTAGGTATGTACACTTCTGAAGGCAGTGTTTCCATCTTTCTAGCCCTTTCCCCAATGAATTCTGTGCTGTTCAGTTTACACCACATCAAAACAGTTGTTTTGGCATCCTTGAGAGACTCAATTGTGTTCCCTTTAAATGTTCTATGAGTTTAGGGAACAAAAAGATGTTCAAATGGGCAAAATCAGGGCTATAGGATAGATGAGGTCATTTTGTCTCACAAAATTCTCTTAGGAAGCCCTTGCTACCCTCAAAGAATGAGCAGCTGCATTGTCACAGTGGGAAAAGGAATTTCTGGACACAACTTTCCTGGTCTTTTTTTTAATTATCAATGCAACTTTCCATTTTCATAAAACTTTCTGATAAGCCCTCAGATCATGTCTTGCCCTTCAAGGGATTCTATCAAGATGGCCTGTTTGGAATCCTCCCCTGAAAAAAAACACTCACCGTAATCTTCTGGCTGACTGCTGTGCCTCAAATTTAATTGGCCCAGCAGATCCTTCCTCTAAACCCACTGTTTTTATTGGACCTCATTTTGGAAGGCACTCTGAGGAGACTAAGACAAAAGAGAACTTGTCGACAGTCAATCACTGATTGTAGAGACAGATTTAAGCATGTTTTGTATGGAATAAATTTGTGCGTATATGACCTGAAACCCTAGTGGCAGTTCTGTATGAGTTACCTTCATATTGGATATTGTTTGCCAACACCGTAATTCAAAAGCAGTATTTCTTCTTTGGCCTTCCTTATTGGTTGTCAAACTCTATCGTATATACGTGGTGACTGAAAATATATTGGCGTAATTTCAGCACTTTGATGTCTTCAAAGTGACATCTAGCTCTTTAGTACTTTAAAGAGGTCTTTTGCAGCAGATTTACCTAATGCATTTGATTTCTTGACTGCCATTTCCATGGGCATTGATTGTGTACATAAATAAAATGAAATATTTGACAACTTCGTTATTTTTTCTGTTTACCATGATGTTTTGTATTGGTTCAGTTATGAAAATGTTTGTTTTCTTTATGTTGAAGCATAATCCATGCTGAAGGCTGTAGTCTTTGATCTTCATGTGAGGCTGTGTCTTCTACCTATCACATTGGAGCTTTCTCAGATCTGATGAG